CTCAAAACACAGTTGAAACAATGTATCTCTACTGAACTCACTTTAACAGCAACGAAATTTCACGAATGAATCGATCGTCACTTTGCACGTTACGATACGTACCACACAAATGATGACCTGTCGGGCCCTGAATAATGAGCGATTTCAGTTCAATAATGAGACCTTTTTTCAAAAAGCTAAAAACGATTGCAAAAAAGAAGCACAAATAAGGTTTTCTTCTCCGGACTGATGGTTTAATAGAGGAATGCGATCAAAGAGGATAACTGCAATGCTTACCGACGGGAGAACGGCAGCAAAAATATTCTCTTTTGGTATCACTTGACTACCTTCCATCGTTTGTGGGAAATCAGTTCCTAGCTCTGAACGAAACGTCTCGATTGGACATAACGTCCCAGATGCCAATATAACACTGCGACCTTCTTTGAATGCATCCAAATATGCCTTGAATTATTGAAGATGAGACTAAATTTTTGATTTTGCTTGACTTTTTTTTTATCAATTAAGAATTGAAAGATAAATCAAAACGGATAAATTCTACGCACCAGTGCTGGTCGCATACACCAAAAGTCCAGCTTAACACGATAACCGCGCTTAATTTCGTGGTATCCGCTGAATGGTGACCTCGAATCGAGCCATTCGTTTGCATTTTCAGTGAATACCTTCCCCATATCCAGCACATCCTTCTAAAGGCACAAGTCTTCATGATTACTTCCGAAACTATTGGAAAATTTCATTATATTTATCTATTGAACAATAAGAGCCACATAAGAGCAAGCGAACAATGAAATGAATATCGCAACGATAACAACGACACTGAGAAATTAGATACTGATTCAAAACAATACAAATCTGAAACGAACCGATGACAATTCATCAATATCGCTTTGACGATTCCTTGCAGCGAACGGTACAAACGGCTTATCAATGCAAATGAACAGCCTTAATGCGGAATCATTATTTGAATGCAAGCGATAAACATTTTACACAATTAACAAAAATAAAACAACCACTCAAAATTACGAATGATAAGAACCAGCCAACGAAGAACTCACTTATAAACAGTTCTGTTATCGTCCTTGAAATAAGTTCTGAAGAAATACAGAAATTTCTCGACACACGTTACGGATGCAGACAGTGGTCTGTACTGATCATATACCATATCGCGGTCACTATCGTCACCACTCAAACCCGACACCACACTTAAAGCTGTCTGAAATTCAACGAAATAGCTTCTAAAACAATCAACGTAAACCAAAAGCGATACAAATCCAACTAAAACTATCACTTACAAAAAACGCTCTGAAAGCGATCAATCAAAAGTAACGTGGGGAAAATAATGACGAACCAATAAACTCGAATATGCTGAAGATTTTCCTTTTTCACCGAAAACTGTCAATTTGCTCTCTTCGAAAGATGTATACAAGCGTTCCCATGAGAAGGTTTCGCTTTGTCGGTCATCTCGACCCATCGTTTTATTCAAAACTTCGGCTGCCATTCCAACAAACCAATCCAACAAATCGCTCATGAATTTATTCACCTCAAAAACGGTAACTTCGCAAAATTTTCTCCTTTTAAACATTATTTTGCCAAAGAAAATTCAACTCGTCAAATGTATTCAACGAATATTCCTAAAATTTTCATTATCTCAACGAGTCTCACCGTCCCATAATTGGTACTTAAATTGTTCAATGCATCAGAAGTTTGCTCTGTTTTCCATCCGTCAACGTTGTCCAATCCCTCTTGTGCCGTCTGCTTTCGCTTCGATTTATTCAGCGCTTTTTCCACATCGGCGGCTGCAATGAGAAGATCGAAATTTTGTTGCGATTCCGCCAGAAGATTTCAAACTTCAAACTCAATATGAATAAGTGTTATGAATGCCTGAAAAGAGCTAACAATGAGCATAGCGTCAACCTTTTTTGCCAAAATCAGCGCATGCCGCAACGATTTCTTTTTCGGTGAACGAGAAACTGACTGCCTCTCGACAGACGTCCTCAACGTTGTGCGCCTCATCCAATATAACGATCGCATTTTTCAGTGTCACTTCGGAGTTATCACGAATTATTGGATCTAAAATTCTTTATCATAAGTAAATTGTTTTAACGAGACGAATACCGCAATATAGTTTCAGTGATCAATGAAACGATATCACTGAGATATTCAAATAATTTACATCTTATGAGTGAACGAATTCATAATCAAATAAAACTTCAAAACAAAACAATTGTCACTAACCAATCATATACGTGAATGGACAAAATACAATATCAGCATCCTGCGTCAGCACACGTGTCGACGAGAAATATGGGCAAAGCGTTGGATTTGACACTTTCAAGGCCTCAACTAAATCTTCGATATCCCAGACATTGCTAGATCCTTGCATGCTTTTCGATACCAATCGACGCAGTGGTTGGGCTTTCTCGTATTTACCACGCATTGCATTCTTGTAAGCGCATCCTACCTGAACCCATCAACAATGCACAACTACGAGAAAACTATATCGGATGGCTCTGATCGTGAGAGAATTACGGATTACGTTCTTCAAATCATAACATCGCAGTCATCCAAATATCTGCCAATTGTAAGCAGCAAAACCGTTCTGTCTGTATTCAATATCATTCGTATGAGAATATAAAAAGAGACTATGAATCAATCGCACACAAAATAATCAATCGCATTGTAACTTTTATTCATTTACGGTCAAATAACGAGTATAAAGGTAGACGGTAAGTTTTTGAGGAATCGATCACGCAATTCATTTCTGAAACTGAAACGAAAAAACGAAAAGATAAATTAAAAATGAAATTAAAACAAAAAAACTGAAACGAACTCCTCGAGATGATATCAGCTCTTTACAGCTCGCATTCACATCGCCGCTGTTCCGTACCGCTAGATTAATACAGGAATGATCACGACTGGCCAGAATTGTATGTCTTAAATGGAATCGAGTCAAATCAAAACTCTCACTGAACCATGTCGAAGATTCATCCAAAATTTCAAGTTTTTACAATAGAATGTGAACAGCACCTAAGGACCTTTAAGGGGAAAAGAACGCTGAAAAACATCGCTCTCAAACCGTTTCCCTTAGAATTTTGGCAAAAAAATGAAGCGAAAGTACTTAAAAAAATTGAACGAACAAACTAATGAATGCTATCGATACCTTATTCGATCATCATGACCGTACGGTAGGCGAGCGAATTCACTTACCACTTGACTGATCTGTTTATGTGTTCTTGTACCATAGTAGATGGTAACTCGCCTGTAATTTCAAACAAACTATGCTTCTATAACTAATCATTTCACGCATCAAAGAAATCGCTTATTCAATCAGATTCGAGTTTAAACATTCAATTTTGAATACCTTTATTCCTGCCACATCAACCATCAAACACATCAAACCAAATTAACCGATTATCCAATCAAAATATTCATAGTATAGCTCATTACCGAAGATTTAAGTACCAATCACATTTTCATCGAAGTGCGGTCAATTCAGTAGCAAATTCTCAATTCAACTGATCCGATATTTAAAACAACTCACGGTAAGCATGTATGACTTTCGGTAACTTTCTTCTCCGTTTCTTCACCGTTTTCTAACTTCAAACGTTTCGAATCCTCCGAGATGAGACTTTTCTGTAAGAAACAATTCATTTAATCATTCGAAACAATTTCGTTTGTTTTCGTAATCCAAAAATAATATCTTCCTAACCAAAATAAAATAAAAACATAATGAAAGTATAACATGATGAAATACCCTTCTTGTAACAGCTGGACTAGGCGATGCTCTGAAGTCTGCGTCAAACTCTTCTTCCACTTAAAAATGAATGAATCAGTAACAAAATAAATAAATCAGCTTTTTTTAAACAATACGATCATAGCAACAAACACTATAACAATAATACTAACAAGAACAGCGATAGCAAAGGAATAATAATTACAAATAATTTGTACAACAATAAATAATAAAGAGTGAATCTAAAATGGCAATCACGATAAAGCGATAGTGATTCTAGGAGCAAAACCAATATTTACATGTTAGGAGTGGTTTTTTATTCACGATATTTGTCGAGTCAAGAGAATTCTCCGTGTTCGTGTTTTCGCATGAGGAGGGATTCTCAGAACCGTTCATCGACCACGCATCGTTACTGTTCTCTTGATTAGTGGATGGTGCGGTGGATTCAGTGATGTGTTTACTTGAATTACATATGGGACATTCTTTTCTCGATTGCTCACGTTCCTCCTTATACTTCACCAGCCATGCACACGTGGCTGACAAAAGACCTAGGGTTTTACCTGAAATTTGAAATTTTGAGGTCAAACCCTCATTTATTTCAAGCCAATCACTTTACCACTGAAGTTGTGTTCAGATGAGACTTTGAGTTGACGGAAACATTCTGGATTGATCTCATCAAAAATATAAAGCAAC